GATTTGCCCTTAGTTCCTTAAGGCTCTGGATGTGGTAGGGTTGTGTTGGCTTACACAACACTACAATATTGCGTGGACATCAAGGGAAGTACCCCTGGATTGATAGACTGGGGTGGTGGTCCCCCTATTCAAAAAGGGAGACCGTAGAGTGTGCTCCAACTACAGGGGGATCACGCTCTTAAGCCTCCCTGATAAGGTCTATCCGAGGATTCTGGAGAGGAAGGTCTGTCAATTAGTTGAACCTCGGATTCAGGAGGATCAGTGCGGTTTTCATCCTGGTTGTGGAACACTAGACCTGCTCTACACCTTTGTTTGCCCAACCAATCTACATTTGCTTTGTAGACTTGGAGAAGACATTCAACCTCGTCCCATCGGGGAACCCTGTGGGGGGTACTCTAGGAGTATGGGGTACCAGGCACTTTGATACGGGCTGTTTGGTCCTTGTATGACTGGTGTCAGAGCTTGGTCTGCATTGCCAGCAGTAAGTCAAGCTCATTCCCAGTGAGAGATGGACTCCGCCAAGGTTGCCCTTTGTCACGATTCTGTTCATAACTTTTATAGACAGAATTTCTAGGTGCAGCCAAGGTGTTGAGGGGATCTTTTTGGGTCACCTTAGGATCGTATCTCAGCTTTTTGCAGATGATGTAGTCCTATTGGCTTCATCAGGTCATGATATACAGCTTTTGTTGGAGCAGTTCGCAGCCGAGTGTGACGCGGCCGAGATGAAGATCAGTTCCTTCAAATCTGAGGCCATGGTCTTGAGTCGGAAAAGGGTAGAGTGCCCTCTCCGGGTCCGGGAAGAGGTCCTGCCCCAAGTGGAGGAGTTAAAGTATCTTAGGGTCTTGTTCACGAATGAGGGAAAAAAGGAGCGAGAGATCAATAGGCGGATAGGTGCGGCATCTGGAGTGATGTAGGTGCTATACCAGTCTGTCGTGGTGAAGAGAGAGCTGAGTCAAAAGGCGAAGCTCTCAATTTATCGGTCAGTCTACGTTCCTTCCCTCATCTATGGTCATGAGCTTTGGGTTGTGACCAAAAGAACGAGACATCGGATACAAGCAGCTGAAATGAGTTTTCTCCCCAGGCTGTCTGGGCTCTCCCTTAGAGATAGGGTGAGAAGCTCGGTCATCTGGAAGGGACTCAGAGTAGAGTCGCACCACCCTATAAGTCGCATCAGTCCAAATATGTCTTAAAAAGTGGAAAAATCCATAAATATGTTGCTTCGCTATATACGTCACATCTATTATGCGTTATCAATGACGTGTCACGTTTGTTACTCATCACCACTGACAACCCGGAAATGTGGGCCGGTGTTGTGCCAAAAATCGATGGGCTGCCAAATGGCGGCCGCAGGAGTGTGCACGGGAGGACTTTAACAATATAAACACCTAAAAACGATTATTTGTTAGCTCAAAATTATAGTAAAAGTGTGTCTCAGTCTAACCTTTGCTTAATAAATGCACTTTGATGGTCAAATCAGCTGTATTTCTAAACCCGATTTGCGTAATTGAGCACGCACAGAAGGATGAGCCGCTGTTCATTTTTTTTTTAATTTAACAAGATAAACACCTAAAAACAATTATTTCTTATTATTACTCTTCTCCAGTTGCTTTCGACGAGATCGGATGCTTCTCACTCCCTCTCTGCTTTGCTTTGCTGCTCTGTCTGCCTGTGAAACTGCTGTGAGCCTCTCTTGCATTTCTTCCGAACCATAATTATGGACTGTTTTGATCAGTTGGTCCCTCAACTCAATTTACAACATTTTCTTCGAAGAGAAGACAGGCTTTAGGCGAGCCGATTTGCCCTGTTGGCACACACACAGCTGGATATCTCATTGACTGGAAGACTTGCTGATGTGTCTATCTCTGCTGCCATTTGCGTATTTTAAGGACGCATATTTAATTGGATTTTCGATAACTGGTTCCTGCTATTTTGGATTCGGCTGGCTGGTTTTATTTACAATCAAGGAAGTTGTCGGCAGCAAATTTGGACCCGATCACGCTGCTTGCCTCTATGATAGCTTGGTTCGTGTCTCGAGTACCCGGACTCAAATGCTTTGGGCTGAATGGATCAGATCTTGGGGATTTTTACTCAGTCACATTCCATTGGTGTGGCCATGTATTTTGGACATTTCGGAACCGAGTGGACCAACACAGACTCAAGGTAGATGTCATTAAGTTCTGCCTGTCCCCAAAACAACTGTGTTTATCTAAATTTGGTTCCCTTGGCTGGCCTTCAAGACCATCTTATCTGAATTCGCCTGGAGAAAATGTGATCTGACGGTCACCACCCCCTCCATGAGGAATTTCCAACTGACAACCAGATGGAACCAGCTGAATAAACTTTGTGTCATCATTTCAGGACTTTTGGATTCTCATAGGCGTTATTCCTGGCCATTCCTTGACATACCTCGAGAATGTTTATGGATCTCACCGGAGGACATTGACTGATTATCTTACCAGAACTCTTACAGTGACCTTGAGAGCATCTATAAACATTGTTGACCGCTCTCGTCTCCGTTTGCAGAATGTCTACGTCACTATGTGCTGTTTGTGCGAGGTGTTTTTTTTTAATATTAGAGGGTTTTTTTCTCAGGCAAGAAAAAAAAAGTCTGACAGGAATTTTTTTCGCCTCCAACTCCTACATGTGTCCAGTTAACCACTGTTTTTGTTTGTCCAAACAGGTCTCACTTGTAAATGAGTCTTCGAGGCTCAATGTGATTTATCTGTTTAAATAAAGGTTGAATTAATTTGTTCGCTCAACTTTAGAGTAAATGTGTGTCTCAGTCTAAAGTTTGATTAATAAAAGGACTTGAACGGTCAAATCATCTGTATTTCAAAAGTATTCACTGCCTCGGTGCTCCAGGAGTGCGCAGAGGGAGGAAAAAAGGAAGGAGGAACGCGGCTTGTTTCTTTGAAATTTAACAAGAAAAGCACCTAAAACAATTATTTGTTTGCTCAAAATTAGCAAAGGTGTGTCTCAGTTGAACTTTTACTTAATTATACTTTAATGGTCAAATTATCTGCATTTTGCCAGGGCAGTGCAGCTGGTTTGACGGTTGCTTCAAGCAGCAAACAGAACAAAGGTGGGGGTACTGTGCCAAGCCGATTGTGCCATTAAGAGCTGGTGAAGATTCTCAGTCATCCAGGATAAGGTAAATTCAAAAAAGTTCAAGACAAAAACAATACAGTATAAAGTAAAGAAATATATTAAGTCCAGTTTAAAAAAGTTAAATCTGGTCCTCTGGACATTCAAAAAAACCCAAAACAAAGCAAAACAACAAAAAATGTAGAAACGTTTCGTCTCTCGTCCGAGAGACTTCTTCAGTCTGAGGTGCTGTATTCAGCTCAGTCTCTTAAATAGCACCTTCTCAGAGTGGATCAACCAGTTTTGCTGCTGACAACCA